TGGATACGTACAAACAGGCCAGAGTTAAAGTCTACTAAAGTGTTGCCACAGAAATGAAACAGGAAGTCCAAGTTTACCGACTGATAGCTAGGTTAGTGTGAAAAGCCCATGTTGGGCTAAGTGTTGCATTTCTTAAAATATTTCTCTACCTCCCATTTTCTCTGAAAGTGAAAAGGTCAGTTTAGCTGTCTTTTTGGTGATCACTCTGAAGTTTCAGGAACTTCAAGGCCTTTAGTTTCTTGGAAGTTTGCAATGCCTGTCCCTCCAGAAAGATCTAATTTAGATAAGATTACTGTGTTTTAAGTAGGATTAGGATGCCAGACTATTACTATAGTTAGCCGCTCACACTAACCCTTCTGCTCTCACAACTGTGTAAGCATGATAATCCACATTTGGTCAACATACGAAGCCATTATTTTTATCAAAACTTTTATTTTCTGCCATGCCGGCCCCGCCCCGTGGCACGCTGAGATGGCAACTGAGACTGGGCTTGGTGGCACGCACCTATATTCCCAGCTCTTGGGAGGCTGTAAACAGGGGGATCACTATGAGTCCAATCTAGTAGTGAGACCTTGAACACCCTGTAGACCCTGCCCTAAAATCCAAAAAAAAGGATAAAGCTTTTATTTTTGTAGAACTAAGTTGATCTCCATAGAGTCGCCATGCTGCCCCCCTGGTGTGGCCTGCTTCCTGGAGCAGGGGGGCTGCCATGTGTCAAATTCCCAGTGCTGTGAGAGTCACGTGATGAAATGACACTAGGGTGAAATGACCAGTTTCACAGAACATCCGGAGCACTCTGCACACATCGAATTTCACAAACAACTGATCAGAAAAGGGATTTGTTACTTTGCTTATTGGCTATGAGGTTTGGATTAAATTGTTTAAGGCTCTAGACCTGACTGTTGCATAGAGCTACTATATCCATGAGTCTAAATTTCATTGATTCATTTTACAATACTAAGGATTGAACCCAGAGCCTTTGCACTCAAACTTGAAATCCTCCTGTCTCAGCATCCCACAGTTTGGGGATTATATTGGTGTTTCCCGATGTCTGGAAAATTTTAACATTAACAAAATGAAATGCAATTATGAGTTCAGTTTCACAGTGCCCAGAACTATGTTTCAAGCACTCGTTTGCTACATGTGGCCAACATCTGCTGCATGGGATGGTACTGCTGCAGTCCTGCAGTGCCGCATCCCATGCTTTCTGAAGCCTCAGAGTCCCGTCCTCCACCGGCCTAAGGTGCTCATCACAGAGCTGCTATGGGTCACACGGAATGATGCTTGTGGAAGGACCATGCTCAGGTCACTTTTAGAAACAGTGCAAAATTATTAGTCTTTGCAATACGCAGCCCTGGGATCCTACAGTCCTGCTGGCTCTTTTTCACAAATTGAACTATGGTATGTGCCATTGAGTTGACATTCATGCTTGTTTTCTAGGGCTCCAGAACATTCCACGCTCTGCACCACTGACATCTTCCCTGGACCTAGCAGGTACTGTTAGATATACATGGAATTTTCTGTAGGAATATACCTATCTGAAATCTATATATATACCCTATGAAAGCTATCGAAAGCCAGCTTTTCATATAAGCTGGTAACATACAGGTTTACGAATCTTACCAGCTTGTAATATACAAGCTAATAAGGGTTGCAACCTTTGCCCAGACAGTGTTTAAAGTGCCTGGAAAAAGTAAATGAATACACATAGCCCTGTGCTGTGCAGGGCCAGTGATAACCAAGCTCATTAACTACTAGCAACCTAAATAAGTAACACACGTCTAATCCAGATGAGAGGGAATCCGGCCTCCCTTGATGCAGCTGCCTCTCCTGTGCTCCATTGGTTTCTTTCAGGGAGTTGCATCCACTGGCAGTTGGCATGTTAGCCGGCATCATGGAAAGAAGCCTGAGAAACTTCCTCGTGGTCTCCTTTGGCTTCCTTCTTCTCTTCACTGCCTACGGAGGCCTGCAGAATCTGCAGGTGAGTGTGTATCTTAGTCCCTGATCTTAACTTCTGTATTTCTCTTGGCTTCCAAAATCTCTGTGGTTACCAAAAGGAATGAAAGGCAATTTCTTTTTCATCAGTTCACTGTAGTATTCTTTTTTTGTCACCTTCTTCCAAACTTTCTGAAACTGTGGTCTTCACATACAACCCTACAGCATTCAGTGCCCGTTACAGTCCCACAGGACTATGCATCAGCATGGTCTGTTTGACCCTTTGTGAGGACAACAAGAGTCTCAAGTAGTCATTTGAACCCATGCTCTTTGTCTGTCATTGGGCAGTTAAGACTTGAGACAAATTGTGGATTCTATATTCCATGATTTAAGGTTTGTCAGCACAGCAGAAGTATCAGTTATCAAATCGCACTAGAACTTTTAGTTTGTAAGCCTGCTTTATGCAAAATTGTAAAGTTTGGGGCCAGGGATATAGCTCAGTGGTATAGCACCTGCCTGGCAAGTACAGGGTCTGAGGTGGATTTCTAGTAACCCCCTAAAATTGTGTTTGGTGAAACAATTGGTATTTGAACTAATAACTGGAAGTAAAACCTTCAGGGACGTCCATGGACCAGCTGGGAAGTAGGGCCACTGCAGTTCCCTACTGTTCTCACTGGCTTAGCATTGTACCCTGAAGCTGGCTGTCACATAATGAAATATTTTTAGAGTTCCGGGTGACAAGTGAGTACAGCCTCGCTTAGTTTGTCAGTCAGGGAGAAGAAGTAGCAACCCATTGCATGCACAGTACTGGCCTGAGAAAACCGCCCAGGGTCTCAGGGACAAAGGCTGTCTTCTCACAGTGCTCTGCAGGCACTCTGGACCACCTCCTAGACCTGCTTCTGGAAAAGCCTACAGAGCATGAGACGACAGCAATGGTGACTCTCAGATCAAGGAGGGGATGTACATCTCTTTTCTCACTGAGACACATCTGACACTTGGAGTCCTCACCCTCCCACCCCAGGCCTGGTGGTGTCACCTGCAAGTGTCAGTCTGTGCAGAGCACCTGCTCTGTGGCAGTTGAACTGAGCTCATGTCAACTGCAGTCAGGGAGCAGCTATGAGAGGAAAATGTGGCCAAGGGTTCCCGCTAGAAGGAGAGAGTGCTCGGGGTCACCCTCTGGACAAAGGACTTGGAGGGATGCGAATAGTGAGGGCTAGTCTCCCTTTAAAACACTCGCACACAGAAGGTCATCCTAAGGTGATTTCAGCACCAAGCAGAACAGCTCCCCAAAGCTTGGGGACTGGCACTTATGGGTCACAAGTCTTGAATCTGGCAGCAGTTCAGCTGCCTGACTGGAAATTGGCCTCTGCACTTGGAAACCAGGGAAAAGTTTGGCAGGAAGAGCCTTAGAAGCTGCTGATGGCTCCGCCCCAACTGGGAGAGCAAGAGCAAGGACTGTGGACAACTGTGGCAAGCAGTGACAGCCTCTGGGGCTCAGGAGTGCCTGGACAGCCTGCGGTCAGGAACTCTCTGGTGGCATCTGGCTTACTCCAGCTGTGAGTTGCTGCACTAGGTGCCTCCAGCACTAACAGGACCCAGGGGGGTAAGGAGCAATCTCACCCACGCACTGCAGTCCCCGTGGCCCCAATTCTAACCCGTACCACATCGTCCTGCTCACAGACTCAGACTACACTCTATATGAGCATGTTTGAACTAGGAAAGAGGTTCCTACTATTCAGAATGGGCCATAGCAGACGTGATGCATGGATGGATGATGGGCTCGACTTCTGAAGCACTGGACGCCAACCCCATCTTAAGAAGCACCTCCATCCCAAGTTCAGACAGCTCTTTGAATAGCTTCATCCTCTGCATCTCTCAGTCCTTGTCCCTCCAAGCCCAGCAACCTTGCAGGGATGCAGGGCCTGCTCCTCAGGACCCCCTGGCCTGGATCAGGTCAGAACCCTCACCACAGCAATGCTGTCTTATTGCCCTTTTTGCCACAAGCCTCCTCTTTGTTGTTCACAGCTCAGCTTCCCATAAGGACATCCATTTCACTTCCTGATGATGCCCGGGAGAGGAGGTCTGCCAGCCAAGAGGCAAATGCCACACTGCCAGTCCCTTCCTGTACACAGCCAGCAGCCTGTGAGGGCCTGGATATAAGAGCTGTGTCTCCTAGGCATTGCCACCCAGGCCTAGGGTGCACATTTCCTGAAGACAGTACACTGTGGGTATGTGGTGAAGGAGGAGGTCATTACTGCTTGGAACCCTTTGGAAGCTCTCCATGGGTTTCCAAATCCACTGATGCCCAGGAGATGGGGCTCCCCATGGCTGAACCTCTGGGGGCTCTGGCAGGTGCAGCTAATGACACATGTTATCTCATACAGGCGGAGATCCTGCCCTGTACAGTGCCCTCCCTTGGCACCAAACTGGCTTCCTTCTAGAACACCTCACCCCTCAGGAGGCTGGCCCTGGTGGCCCTCCCAGGCAATGACAGCCCCATGGCAAGGGTCTATTAAACTAGGCCCACTAGCAATGGCCCCTTGGCTGGCTTTGCTGTCAGCTTCTGTGGGTCCATTTGCTCCTATTTTGACTTTTTTCTGTGTCACTAGTCTCCCATGGAGCCTCTGGTGGTAAGGTCCTCCACCTTGTTGACCAGATTGAAGAATGTTGCATTGCTTATGCAATGCATCTTCCGACACTCAGCATGCGCGTATGCTCCTCTTCACACGGGTGTCATGCAGACAGGCTTGCTTGGTGTTCCTACACCCTGGTGCACAGTATTCATGTGGCACTCAGATAGGGCCACTCACACAGAAAAAGACATTTCTTTTAAATCTGGTTCCTACTTTGGGTGTTGGTATCTCTCTTTTTATTCAGCAACTTGCAGTCAGAACTGATCATAAATGACAAGCGTCTCTTGCTGATTTGCAGCACCCTGTGGTTGATAAAGAAACTGCAGTGCCATGACACACAGAGGATGGCAAGTTTTGCACAGAACATTTCTAACACAGGCCAGGAAGAACTAATTCTCCCACGCCGTGCCTCTGGCAACTTGCATTACCAATAGACATTTCCAGAGAGCCTTGCTCTGGAGCAAAGTGCTCAATTTCCATTTTCCAGCTGAAAGTGAGGGACTGTATGGGACTAGCCTCTTTTGCCTTTGGGTTTAATTAACCAAAAAACATCAAAGTACCTGCTTTGAGCAAAGCATCAGGAGAGGTGTTTTTAATCAGCATATTCACCTTGCTTTGGAAGGAATTGTGATCCCAGTGGAGCAGCCCAGAGGACCAAGGGCTGGGCTGAGGCCAGGGGACTAGATGGAAGAGGAGCCCCAGGACTGAGTGGAGGAAGAGCCCTCCCTGGGCTCTGAGTACCCTTGGAGATGGGGGAAAAGTGCTCACGTCTAGCATGTGAAGGGCTTGGGCGGCTCACGGAGAGGTTAAGGAAGCGGAGATCCTGAGTACATGGAGTCTAGTAGTACTGCTCAGTCTGCCACAAAATGTCCTTTTTGTTGGAAAACCAGGTAGGAATAAATTTTAACCATGTTCTGAGCTGACTGTATATCTCTACCCTCCAACTTCATGGGTGGAAGTTCTAGCCGCCAGGCCTCAAGGCCTCAGAGACCTTGAGAGAAGTGATGAGCACACCAAGGCCTTCTGAGTCTCCCTGTGAGCAAAGAAGGCCAGGACACAGGCATGTGGAGGGATGGCCATGGAGGACACAGGGAGAAGACAGTGTCCGCAAGCCAAGGACAGAAGTCCAGTAGGGGTCAGCCCTAAAGACACTTTGGCTTCAGACTCTCAGCCTCCAGAACCCCAAAAGTGAACTCTCACGGTTTGAACCACTCAGTGTTGCATGAGGGCAGTCCAAGCAGGCTCACACACTGACTTGGGCTGGGTCCTGCTGCCTTGCTAATTGGCTGTGTGTCTAAGGACACAAGTCGCTGCCCACAGAGACAAGCTGAGCCTCTCATCCTTGAAGGAAAATGGGTACTGAGCTCTTACCTTAGCATCTGGCACATGGTGTCTTTGGGACAGAAAACTCCAAGGTGGACTCCAGGTTCAGCAGCAATCAGGCACCGGAGGACCCACGTTTTCTCCTCAGGTATCCAGCCAGCTTCCGAGCTCCCCAGGTTGCCCCTACATCTGTGTGCAAGGGCATAGGGTAGCATGACAGAAAACTGTTGCTGAAGATTCAGACCTTCCTTTCTCTACCTCATCTTCTCTTTCCCTTTCTATCCCTTCTCTTCTCCTCTTCTTCCTCTTCCTTTTCCTTATTACAAGAAAAATGGGAAGCAACAAGTTTGCTGGGGTTCTCAGAGGCAGAAGCCAGACATTGTCCCGTGATTGTTCTTGCCAGTCTGGTTCTGGGGACTTATTTGTCCTTTGGGTCACTTCACCCTGAACTATGGCAGGCTTTCTGTGAAGACAGCATCAAGAGTAAGTATGTGGTTTCATTGCATATCGCTGCCAGGAGTGCTGCCTGCGTGGCTCAGAGCGAGTCCTCCCGGCAGCTGCAGGTGACTCTTCTCGGCTGGGCCCCAGCCAGGCACAGGTCCCCAGTGGGAAACAGACTTTGTGGTGTGCACCCCACAATCTAGCACTGTCAGGGCTGGAACATCCATCCTGACACTGAGAGGCAGGTGACTGTCCCTGCCATGTGCACCTGCTGCAGGCCCACTGCAGCATGGCCTGATGCTTGTGGTTCAGGAGTTGAGATGCCCTTGAGCCTGTGGGACCTCAAGCACCTGGCCATACTCAGGGTGGTCCCTTGCCCCACAATCCCCGCACTTGTCTCCAGCTCTGATGTGCTGACCTTGTTTCCACAGAGCAGCCTCCACAGCAAGGGTGGCCTGGGGGTGGCGACTCTCAGTGCACTCTACGGTGCCATCCTGCTATCCTCCATGTTCCTCCCACCCATCCTCATCAAGAGGTTCGGCTGCAAGTGGACCATCACGGGTGCCATGGGCTGCTACGTGGCCTTCTTCCTGGGCAACTTCAAGGGCAGCTGGTACGGCCTCCCCTGCTCTGCTTCCCAAGTTGCTCACAGATGCCCTGCACCCAAGTGAGGCATCTGTCAAACACTCTCTGCACCCTGGATTCCATGGTTTCCGTTGCAAAACTGATACATAGCATCCTCCCCAGTTTTCCACCTAGACGCCCACCTCCCCCACTAGCTTCTCCTTCTCTCAATTCACAGGCTGACTTCTTCCCGGGATCTGAGCTGGCCTCAGCTTTGCATGTACTTGGGTGTTTCATGACCCCAAGACCCACAAGGGGGGGGTCTAGGTTAGATTGAAGTGTGAGTCCCAGAGACCCAGGACTTGACAGATGATAAAACTGGTGAGCAATGAGGGCAGGACACATGTGCCCAAACAGCCTTCTTTCAGGTACACCCTGGTCCCTACCTCGGTGCTGCTAGGGCTGGGAGCAGCGCCACTGTGGTCAGCTCAGTGCACCTACCTCACAGTCCTGGGGACCTCACAAGCGAGGAAGGCGGGCAAGCTCAGCAAGGATGTGGTGAACAAGTACTTCGGCATCTTCTTCTTCATCTTCCAGTCCTCGGGTGTATGGGGCAACCTCATCTCCTCTCTGGTGCTTGGCCAGACTCCCAACAAAGGTAAGGGGAAGAGGGAAAGCTATGGTGCTGAGAAGGTGAAGACTCTATGGTGCCTGATCTCCAGGAGAGTCTGAACTCTTTATCCACCCAACTTTATGTGCAGTCAGCTTGTCTCTGTTCCCCTGGAGACAGCTGGGATCTGAAGATAAGTCTCTTTCCATGGGTGTCCCTGGGGGCAGGGGAGTCCTTGTGTCAGGGTGCTGTGGGCAAGGCAGGAGCCCTGCCTTGGGACCTGGGTCTGTGGTCCAGGGGTCGCTGCTGCCCCTTTGGACTGCATGAGAATGGCTTTGCCTGATTTATCTGTACTGAATTTACCTACTGTCCCATTCAAACATGTGTGTGAGTCCCATATCACATGACTGAGTGAGCATTTGATGGCTGATCCTTGGCTTCCTGATGTGGCATAGCCTCAGATTTAAGGGGGAGAGGGGTGTCACATACATACCTTTGGGACTGGGTTGAGGAGTCAAGCCAAGGTCAAGGGAAGCCACGCCCTCAGTTCTTAGGGAGATTTTCACAGTGGAAAGTCAAGTTCCTTTCCTGCCTGGCCCTGCTCTGTGGCCTTCCAGGTAAAGCCCCACCTTCAGGACACTCTGCAGTCACGCCCTCCTTCCTACCATCATGCTAGATAGTTTGCTCTATAATGATCTAAGCAGGGTTGTCACACAGCTCACAGGTGCTGAGCCTGCTTGTCACATCAAACTGAATATTCTCTCTCATGATATCCTTCCTCTCTCAGAGGCTGCAGTCAATTCTGACCTCTAGAAGTTCAAACTTTATTCTTCTAACACATAAGGAAACTAGAATTCATTTTCAGTCGCCTGCCCAACACTCTGGAACTGCTTTCAGTTGAGTCTAGACGAAAACCCAGCATACCTGGCACCTGGTAGAATGCGCCCTGTCTGTATGACTAATTGTGAAGGGTTGAACAATTTTAGTTGTGTCAAAAAAGTAGTACAGCCAATAACGAGCATTCAGTTCCACATTTACTCTCTTCTGCATCTTTTCAGAATGCTAACTTGATTCTTAACTCCCAAAGAATCTTACAGCCAGTCTTCAGCCTGTGTTGAAGGGCAAATATGCCCAGATATTCCGGGTCACAGTGACCTTTGCAGCATCTTCCAAAGGCCTCCCTGTTCTCTACACTATTGCTTCTGACCTCAGATCCCCATAGCCTAGCACAGCCCCTGTGTCCCACTTAACCATGTGCTTCTGACTTCACAGAATTCTTCTCAGAGGACCAGCTCAAGTCCTGTGGGGCCAAAGACTGCCTGATGTCCACAGCAGCCAGCACCAACATCACTCAGCCATCCCAGAAGCTGGTCTACACGCTGCTGAGCATCTACACAGGTGGGTGCCCACAGCTTCCGCTCCCGGGCTGAAGGGGGCTGGCTCCAGCCCTGATGAGCATGCTCTCTTCAGCTCCAGCCCTGCTGGACTGCAGGGCCCGGCTGTCCACAGGGTTTTCTGTGAAAGGGGAGGCCCAGGGCTGCCTAACACTGAGACATGTGCCAGCGTCAGCATTTCAAGTCATGAGAGTCCAGAACTGTTACTTTTAAAGTATTAAGTTAAAAATTCCGCTCCTGAGTCATCCCAGCAATACCTGAAGTGCCCAGGGAGTGCTAGTGGCTGCCCTGACAGACATCACCATAACGGGCCAGGACATTGGTAGGTGACAAGGCCCAAGTGACTGAAAATCCAGTCTCTGATTTATCTTTTTTCTCTGAAAAAGGTATTTCAGTGATTTGGGCCAAAGGAGGTAAATCTTGTGGCTGTCCATCCTTGGTTGTCACCCAGGCACTGAAGTTCTGAGCTTTGCAAGTCTGTGACGATAAGGTGGCTCAAGGAACTGAACTGTTACAATGAGCCTTATTCTTGGAGGTTCATTTTAATGAAAACAACATCTATGTTGATAGTTTTAAATCTGTGTTGCTAGGCCTTACTTATATCATAGATTCATTACTACTTTGAAAGGAATACATTCAGAGTTCTCTAAAAATACTGTCTTAAAAGAAGTTGAAGTGTATTCTTTGTCATTTTGGGGTACTGGAATTCATGATGGCCTCAGATAGCTCCTCTTGAACAGCAAATGTCTGAAACCTGTCAAGTTGGGTATAGTAGGCCCAGCTCCATGAGGGAAGCAGTCAGGAAGGTTGATAGTGTGCAGAGTTTTATTTGCATGCAGGAACAAAGAATGCCCAACCCCCAGGCTCCTTCCAGTCACCCCAAGTCAGAAGTACTAAATATGCTCATGAGCAGTCACTCCAGACTCCCAGAGAGCATTGAACCCTTGGCTGTGTCTCTGGGCAATGGGGTGGGGCCCCTGTGACCCCAGAAACAAGAGCCATGGAAGCTTCCACACCTCCAACAAGCTCAGAGTCCAGATGTGGAAACAGAGATGCATGCAGCTAATCTGAGGGGTTCCTGAACTCTGGACAGTGGATCCAGTTGGGGAGACACAGCAGATGCCACACGGGAGGGGCAGGATATAACCCAGGGCCTAGAAGCCAAGAATGCAGAGCTTGTGCTGTTCCTCTAAAACTAAGGTAGACACTGGGGCCAAATCCTGGCCCCTTCTGGCCTTTTAAATAAAGTTTTATGGGAACTCAGCTGTTCTGATCTATTTACAGTCTGTGGTTTCCCACTGTACGGATAACATGGAGTTGTTCCCACAAAACCATGCCTACCAAAACCCAGAATGGTTCCTAGATGGCTGTCCTTTGCAGAGTTTGCCTTCTCTCCTCTAGAGCAGTGCAGCTTTGTAGGCAGGGAAGTCTCCGGCCTGGGCCTTACTGCACTGTAAAGAGGATTCGGTGGAGGAACATTGAGGTCAGGCTGATTCTCCCCGGTCCCTATCACCATATCCGTGGAAATGTGGGACCCAAGAGAAAGCACACAGATCCCAGCACATAGTAGATTTAGAGACAGCTGGAGGTCAACCACAGCCACCTCCTCGCTGCCTCCCTTCTGCGTGTGCCTCTAGCCACCCCCTTGGGACCTCACACACCACCCTGCCAACCTGTAGTGACTGGGCTACCAGGGATTCACCTTGCACATGATCTCTAGTGTCCCACACCTGTGTATACACTAGATAAATTAAGATTCCTGGGGAACCCAGCAGCTTCACTAGGAGAAATCCAGAGACAAAGTTAAATCAGATCATGCTGGGGTAAGTGTCTTATTCTGATAGTAGCTTCCCTGAGGTAACTTATATGGCTCCTTCTTTTAAGCAAATTGACATTATTGCAAAGAAAAAAGTCAAAATGAAAGAAAACGAATTGGAGGAACCAAAATGCCCCCCCCCCAACACTTTCTCTGGATTTCTGGGCACTCAACTCAGAACTAAGTTTCTTGCATAGTTCTTATCTTTAGAAGAGTGTAGTCACAGGACCTCACCCCATTCACACCTCTGAAAGCTTCTAACTGATGTGGCAGCTGGACACACATGGCCCAGTGATGGGGAGGAATAGCTTCTGTAACCTCTCAAAGGCTTCCTCTCCTTGACTTCCTGTCATGGGGGCTTACCTAGTAGGTTGTGACAAATTTGAAGTCCCTGCCCAAAGGACAAGGGTGAAACAAGCGTCCATGCTCAGTGGGGAGGACATGTGCCTTTCCCATGGGATCCACCTACAACCATCTGGTGGGGTTGGCCCCAAGCAGTTAGCAGGGCCCACCATCCCCTCGAACCTGCACAGTCCCCTGCCCATTTGGTTGAAGGAAATAAGCAGAGACCTGGAAATGGGAGCAGTGGCTGTTCAGGCTTCCCAGAACTTAGGCAATCTCATTCAAATCCTGGTTTGCAATTACAGTGTGGGTGGGTTGGTCTAGAGGGAAAGTGGCCAAGTGATTGAAAATAGAGCTTGCAAGAAGACGAGCACTTGTTTGGGTAGAGACGCACCACCGAGAAGGTTATGAGGTGGTGCCAGTACTGGTTTGACCACTTTGCAAACTAACTGGACAAGACCTGGCTTTGTAAAAATCATCACAGATCCAGGAAAACTCAGCTACCGTGGCAGTAACAGAGCAAGTGTGCCACGACGTGGTGGTTCTACAGAGAAGGCTCGGTCATACACAATGCAGACAAGATCAAGCGTGGATAGTGAGAGGAGAGAGAAAACCAGTTAGGTCTTCTTAAAAAATGGAGTTGAATGCAAATGTGACCAGGGGCAGGAAAGGAGGGAAGGATCCAAATGGTCTGTAACAGCTAAAGCAAGGTGCCCACCGCTGCCAGGGAGGAGAGAGACAATGGAAGCTTAAAGACAGCACAACGGGCACTTGGAAGCTATTGGACGATGAGAAGGGAAAGATTCTACATAAATATTAGTCGTCCATGTGCAGAAATGAAGGTGGGTCAGATGTTAAAGTGATGGTTGGTGAAGATGGAGATTTGGTCTTTAAATTTTGGAATTATAGAAGTACAAAGTACAGAGTGAAATCATATATAAATCAATATAATTAATTTATTAATTATAATTGCATATAAATTATCATTATATAAAAATGATATATAATTTCACCATATATATGTGTACATAGTTTTGTTCTATATTTTTGTAGTGAAGGGCACGCAGGGTCACACACCCTCTTGTGGCTGTGCCTGGGCCACTCAGCTCTGCCCCACAGATAGCGTGTGTCTGCTGTACCTTCAGCATGTCTGATGCACACGTGGACAAGCCTCTATGCACCACCTTGTTAAGAGCAAATGGTGGCACTTTTTGCTCTTTCTCTTTTTATTCCTTTAGGGGGACTTTGCCATCTTAGGATAGAAAGGACTTTTGGGTTTTTTTTTTTTTTTCAGGTATACGATATTCTACTGCAGTTGTTATACACTCAACTGAGATATACCAGTTCCTACCAAAGGACCCTTAGACAAATAGATCTGGGATAAATAAAAAGTACAGCAGATGGCACCTGCATGGAACTCGTTATCAAAAGAAAGACAGAAAGAAGAATGGGCGGAGAAAGGAAAAAGGAAAGGAAGGAAGAGGAGAGAAGAGAGGCGAGGAGAAGAAAGGGAAAGAAAATGGAAGAACAGCTGCCTGTTGTTAGAAATTGCTTCAAAGAAGAGCATAAGAGACCTAGAGTCAGAGGCCAAGGATACTGAGCACCTCTGGGGCCCCTTGTGCTGCTGAAGGCAACACTGGCCTGCCGTAGCCCATGAGAACCTAGAGTTCAGAATTGATGTGGGAACGTGTGTAGGGTCAGTGACTATGACTTGCTATTTGAGGGCAAAGCTTGCAGCCAGGGCAGGAAGACAACTCAGCAGTCTAAGTGCCTACCCAACAAGCGCAAGGCCTTGAGTTTGATCTCCAGTACTGCATGTCATGCCAGCCCTGCCATGGGCCCCCTGAAACTGGGTGTGGTAGTGCATCTCTGTAATCCCAGGGCTGGAAAAGCTGAAACAGGAGGATCACTGCAAGTCCAAGCTATGTAGTGAGACCCTGTACCAAATACATAAATTAAAAAAAAAAAAAAAAAGCTGAAGCCAGTTTTGATGAGTCTTACATCATTTTAGTCTGGGATGTGGAAGGGTCTGAGGCAACTCAGTAGGCCCCTGCCACCCAAGGCCCTACTGACCCTGGAGCCTCGGCCTCTGTGTTCCTTGCAGGGAGTGGTGTGCTGGCAATCCTGCTTATAATTATGTTCCTTGAGCCCATTGATGACAACCCACCAAGCAATGAAGGGAAGAAGTCCCCGCCACTCTGGTCCACACTACTGTCAACCTTCAGGCTGCTCAGAGACAAGCGTCTACGTCTGCTGATTCCACTGCCACTATACAGTGGATTGCAACAGGGCTTCCTCTCTGGTGAATACACAAGGGTAAGAGAAAAGCAGAAATTGGTAGCTTATGCAATAGACTTTATGGCTTGTACCACCAGTACCTACACCTGAGTCCCACCCCCACCCCGGTCTGGAGGCCAGCTGGTGGGAATGGCATGCTGTGGCTGAGTCAGTGATTTGAGATGTCAGCTCCTGAGGCCTTTCTGCCTCCCATGACTTCTGGCCACATGCTTGGTGGCATCTCTCTAGGAAATGGAACAGCTGTCATCAGCTCACTGCTTGCGACAGCCACTGTGTTCTGCAGGCCTATTTCTCCCTGCATTCTTATTGAAGTTAAAAACATAGGGAACATTAAATCCATGGGTGACATCACCACTCATTTCTACTCTCCTTTTTAAATTACATGTTATAGTCTGAGAACCTATGAAAGCTTCCAGGCAGCAGCCCCTGTTCACTCTGACATTCTTCCTTAATGGCTGCCTTTCCCATATACTGCCTCGCCTCTTTGTTATAGTGACAAGCTGTCACTTGGCTGAGAAGCATGAATTCATGGGAACTTGGTTCCCACTACTCCAGGAGCTGCACAACCAGAACTCCCTGGCCAGTCATCACTGACCTGTCCCTAGCCTGTCTCCCCGGCTCATGATCAAGGTAGCACCTGTTCAAACAAGCCTCAGTGCCATGGGCCCTCTGTCAGTGTCAAGATCCTTGCTCTCAACATGCACAAGACAACTTTGAAGCAGCCACAGAGCCAGGGAGGGGCTGGGTAAACACCTTGTGTCCCCCCAGCCCTGGGTCTTGCTCCCTCCCTCCATCCCTTAAGGAGGAAACCCTCTGCCACATCCCACCTACTACTAAGTAGAGCTGTGAGCCTAGCACAATAAAGCTGCCCAGTCTAATTCAAACTTCAGATCAACCACAAACATTATTTCAGACAAGCATGCCCCATGACATATTTGGGTGTCCTGGCGTCTCAGTTACTCTTCTCTCATTGCTGGGACAAATACCCGACACTCAAAATTAGGGAAGGAAAGATTTATTTAGCTCACAGTTACTGCAGGTTTTAGTCCACACTCAGCTGGCTCCAAGGCAGAGCAGTGCAGGGCAGAGAGCAACCTTTCAGGGTGGCAGCAAAGAGCAGGAGAAAGGGGAGTGGCTAACAGCTTGGCAGCTACCCAGCTTTGCTCCCCTCCTTACATTGTGATGCAGATTGCCTGCCCCAGGGCAGGTGCAACATCCACACCCACAATAATCAATCACAAACTCCAGGAGCCACCCCGAGACTGCATAAGGCTTTGAGGGAACACCTAGACACAAACCATAGCACCTGGACTTTATTTGGCAGCACTACTCCTAGGACAGAATTGACAGAGTCTTGAGGATTGACCAAAAAGACTGGAGGGGTTTCAGACACCTTCTTCCATCAGACAACTCTTGTGACTCCTGCTACAGCCAACCTCTAAACTTGGTCAGCTTCCTGCTCCTGCCCTTATTCTGGAGCCTGTCTCTATTCTGCTGGGCAGCAGGAACCTGGCCCTGAGGCCCCTGGGAGCTTCTGTGGCTGTCAGGGGGCACTTACTGCCTTCTCATCTCTGACAAAGACCCCCTGATCCTGAGCCCATCTTCATTTAACTGCTGGCAGTCCTAGGAAATGGCAAAGTCACCAGGAGCAGTTCCCATCAGCTTGAAGGCGTGCCACTGAATTGAGTCAAGAGAAATAGTCATGGGGGTCACCTAAAGCACATAATATTGTTAGTGTGCAGAACTAGCGCTTCCTTTCTTTGTGTGTGGCACTGGCATTGAACCCCAGGGTCTTTGTACTGAACTACATCCTCAGGCCTTTTTATCTTTTGAGACAGGGCCTCACTAAATTGCTATGTTGCCCAGGCTGGACTGGGACGTGTAATTCCCCCATCTCTGTCTCCCAGAATTCTGTGATTCTAGGTGATTAGGAAATCCTCATATTTTCATTATGACAGCTGTACCCATCTCACCTGCGCCATACCAGAAAATAACACACATTTCACAGCACAAGGCAAAGAATGCATGGAGAATTTTGTTCAGATATTTGTCCCAATTGTATCATTTCTATTCTGACCCCGAAAAGTGTTTCCCTGTAAATATCAACATAGCTGTCCTGGACTGGGAGCTGCAGGTTTGGACAAGGGCTGCAGACCAAATGACAGGCCAGCTATCACATGGTTTGACACACCAAGCAGCACCTTCAGACGTGAGCCCCAGCGGGGACAGCAGCGCCACTGACAGGCACCATGCTTCTCCCCAGTCCTACGCCACCTGCGCCCTGGGAATCCAGTTTGTGGGCTACGTGATGATCTGCTTCTCGGCTGCCTCCTCCCTGTGCTCTCTGCTGTATGGAAAGATCTCCCAGTACACAGGCCGGGCTGTACTCTACGCACTGGGTAGGTAGGCGGTGCCCACTAGGTCGGCAGCACAGGATCTGCTGCCTTCTGGTCCATGTCAGGTGCCAAAGGCCCTTCTGGTTGGCTCTCTAGGGACCAGGGCCTGCAGGCTGTGTGGGAGTGTGGAGTGAGCTAGCCACACCTACGCCCACTCACAGACAAATGCCAGGGCTACACCTGAGTCATCCCTCTTGGGTCACCCAAAGGGAACCAAAGGTGTTTCTCTCAGGCAGGGTCCAAGGCACTGGTCATTGCAGGCAGGTTGACTGTCACTGCTCACTGTCCCTCTTCCTCCTCTGGCCCAGGCACAGTGACACACCTCTCCTGCATTGTCACCTTCCTGCTGTGGCAGCCACACCCAGCCCAGATGGCTGTGTTCTTCATCCTCCCTGGCCTGTGGGGTGTGGCAGATGCTGTGTGGCAGACGCAGAACAGTGGTGAGTGCCCAGCACAGGGGAAGGGGAAAGATGAGCAGGCAGCCACCAGCGTGAGCGCCAGGCCCTGGCCAGCTAGGCTGCTGTCAGAGGCCAGAGTGCAGAGGCAGGACGTGCAGATCTGGGGCTCATGGGAAACCTATGTTCCATGGTGTCCTGCACATCCATGATGCAGAGCGGCAGTGTGTTAGTTCCTAGGAGCCCAGCTCAAAGTCTGAAGTGGGCCTGTCTGTATTTATTCACTTGTCTCATTAAGAAAACATGAAAAAAACCTGTAAAAATTGAAAAATGAGTTTATTTACAATTTGGCCAATTGGGGGAGGGGAACTATTCCTTCCCCCTCAACTGCTCAGCTCACAGGAGGGGCAGACCAAAAGCCAGGAAAGGTGCAGTGGAGAGACAGCCTGGGTCTGAGCCACCATTCAGAGGATCCAGGACACGGCAAAAATCTATCTCTCTTGGCACCTCCTGGGGTCAGCCCTGAGTTTGCCACAGATCTCATTTAGACCCCCACAGGTGTCTGAGGATTAGGCAGACAGGTCTTTTGGGGCTTTCAGTGGTCCCCTTGGGGACCCTGAGAAGAGACCCTCTTCCCTGACGCAACACTACTATAGCTTTACTCAGGGAATACTTAGTGATTGGAAATTGAAAGAAGAAAATCCACGAACTATACAATAGCTAAGTGATGCTGTCACAAGAATGGGTGACTTTATTGCTTCTCCTATACGCTCATATAAAAAAGCAATGTTGTCTCATAGATCGTGGACTAAATTCTCCAGGACACTTTCTTGCTTACAATCCTAATGCATTACCTATTTGTAGTACAACTCAAAACAGGATCTTTAAACTGACCTAAATCCCTGGATTTAACTGTTTGGGCTTTCATGATCTTTTCTGCCACCTCGTTAATGAGGGCGGCTTTAGCAGAAGTTGTGCCAAAGCGATGCGTGTGCCGAATCAGCGCTATAACCTGTCTCACTTGGATCAAGGGTGAGCAGCCCTGAGCTAGTCCTAGAATGGGCTGCACGACCGCTTAATGGAGGGATGACCAAGGACTCACTTCCGCTTTTCTTAGCAGTCCAGAATTGTAGGTTACTGCCACACATGTCCCCTAGGAACCATACACACTTTACACGACATGTCCAAGAGGACTGACTTCAACAACCCGTGGAGGTCTGAGGTGGCCAGGGCCAACGTTCCAACCCACACAGTACCCCACAGCCTGTGGTGTGAGCTGTCTCCTCTGAACTCATTTGAAACATCCAAAGTATTTATAAAGAGAGGAAAGGAACTGGGATAGACAGTGTCATAATGTCATAATGTCATGCCATGGTTCTCTAGATGTTTAAAATGATCACAGTAAGAAATTTTGTTTTGTTTGTTCCTCAGATACGAATAATTGCTTCAATGTTCTCTCTCTTTATGTGGGTATAAAATATTCTAAAGCAGTGAAAACCTTTGAAAATTACCTAGGATGCAATAAAAAAATGAATATTCAAGCTTAATGAAGGACTTCAATAAAGAGTTCCTTCGATAAGGAATAGGATTGCTAATTTAAAAAGAAACTATTTGTTTTTTTCCCTGCCCAGGTAAAAATAAACCTTTTTAAGAATTTGAAAACAACAGTAGGCAAAACCTGATTTTTTTTTTCATACATCGGAGACTCTATTGGAATGTATGTCTGTAAAACTGATGTTGAATTACCCAGACTGGCTCTGCTCCTCTCTTAGAATTCACACCTGCACTCCAGCACATCAGTAAGGTCTCTGTGCTATATTAAAAAAACAAACAAAAAAACCCCATAAAACTGGAAATTGTGTATATCTTTCGCCATATCACAAAATTAATGCTCTTTTCTAGCCCTCTGCCATGTACCAGACAGCATATGACAGGCCAGTGACCCTGGTGGTGGAGCTCACCAGCAGTCAAGGAATATAGAAAAGATAAGAGTTTATTCTGATCAGAGGACATTGTCGAGAGAGATCGTCCGACAATTTCCAAGAAAGGAGCAGAGCAGTTAGGGTGGGAGATTTGTATCTGTATAAAGGGTAGCATGTGGGACGGGGACTCCGAGCATCAGACCTGGCTGCAGTATCCCACGAATGTTTCTTCCAGGGAGCCTGGTTTCTGCTGACCAGGGGCACTTTTGCTGTTTCTGAAGTAATACATGGAAGTTGCAAACTATCAAGATCTCCCTTGGGCTTCACAAGGACCCTTCAGACTTAGATAAAGCTATCTTTATGCCTTTAGGAGCATCAGCTCTGAAGGAAAAAGGGATGGTTTGTGCTTGTTGTTATCTTGTACTATCAGCAGTCAGCATTAGTGAGGTGCCTTATGGCTGCTAATGTGTGCTAGTCAAGGCTGTGTCAGCAGAGCAATTTGGGTGCTAAGAATTTTAACCCTTTGCGACAACATCCTCTGCTCTCTGAGTGTGTGCTCTTCTTTAAGAAGACCTGTGGCCACGCACTTTCCTACCGAAGACACCCGAAAGACCTTGGAGTAGAGCAGTCCTCTCTTTGGGTCATTGCCCTTGACCTACAACAGGGTGTCACGACTTCTTGCAACTGCGCATGTGCACTCTCTCCCTCCTGGGGCAGATCTGTGACGTCACTGCTCAATTCCCCCTCCCCCCACCCGAGATTCTGCAACCACAGATCTGTGCAGAGGACTCATTTGTACTCATCTGCTCATTCATTCTACAGCTCACTGAAGATGGGCATGGTTGCCATAGCAACCCTCACACACTGCTCTACTGCATTTAAGATTCAGAATGTCTGGTCTAAAAATAGCTCTGCCCTGTGAGAGCTGCAGAAAGGCCTGTGTTGGGCTTATTAGCACAGGAAGTCTGACCTCTGCTGAGTACCTCTTTACTTTTCCCAACCAGGCCTGCCAACCTGCTCTTCCAGGTGCCCTTCTTCAAGGACTGGAATCAGTGTTCAGTGATCACTTCCACCCTGAGTCACCTGGCAGGATGAGAGGGAGGGACCTGAGAGCAAGCCTGATTTTCTTCTTAAATAGTGTTTGAGTTTGAAATAATCTTAGATTTACAGAAAGTTGCAGGGACAGCGCAGAGTCCCATGAAGCCCTAGCTCTGTTCCTCAACAAGAGTCTTATACAACTTGTGGCCTCTCAGGTGGCGGAGTATCTGTAAAGGCAGCTCAGGGCTAGAGTGGCCTTGGTGAGGAAGGAAGTGGTGATGGGAGAAGGACCCAGTTGTGGACCAGTGGTGCTGGGAAGTGCCTTGGGAAGGGACAGTGAGCTCCACAGGGCCAGGGGCAACTGCCACTCCATCATGAGATGGAAGTGGGATTGTCGACGCCCTCCTCTAGGGCTGTCAAAACTGGCACCACCCAGTGAGAAGCAAAAAATGATTTACTTTCATCTCAAGGCATTTATCCTACTATATGAGTTCACTACAGCTGCCAAACAAATACTTCAGCCCGAGCATTTTTTTTTAATTTTTTAATTTTTTTTTTTAGAGTGGGAGTATTTATTGAGGGGGAGAAATATAGCTCCTGAGAGGCAGGAGGGGTCCCAAGTGGGCTGCTGAGGACCCCACTTCTTTTTTTTCTATTTTTTTTCATAATTTTATTAAGAAACAAATAGCAATGAGACAGATTCAAATCCGATTAGTAGGACAGTTTCAATAATTAATACATTGCATATTGTTGTCTTAGTGGTTATTCATTGTACAAGATGCAGACATGATATCTTGTTTACAAACATTATTAGAACAGATCTTTCTATTCACTGAATTAAGAGACTGTAGCTGTATATCTATCCTAACTATTTTGAATATACAGATACAAAATGGTCGCTTATTTGTATCCCCTTTATTTGTTTAGTTTTGTCATTTAAATATTATAGGTGTGTAAATTCAACAAAATATTCCAAAATAGTCCAGTAGTTCATAAACCCATAGTAGTAGGTTTTCCACACAACTGGCAATGTCAGAAGTTGTTGACTTGAGCCTTTTACAGCTCAGCATTTTAATATGGCTTTACTTTTTATATTTCATTTTATACTTTTTTTGCTGGATGGTTAAGACCAAGGTAAAGCAGGACCTATGCAACAAGAGTTGTAGCTTTTGGGTCTGATAAGATCAGTGAAATCCCCTCAGGATTTATCCTGAGATCCTGTACCTCAGATTCTAGATCCTTTGTCAGTGCAGCCATGTGGATGAGTCACGGCCATTGCTTGGCCAATGTGCTCTCTTGAAAGCCTGAGAGAGTGTTTTCTCTCCATGTGACTCTCCTTAGGCACACTCTGCATCATTGATCACTTTCCTCTGTGGCCCCATAATCTCCTTGATCCAGCCCGAGCAATTTAACAGCATGCACTTCTCAGTCTGGAGGCTGAGTGGCTGAAAACAAGGGGCCAGCAAGATTCACTAGCTCTGTGCCATTCCGCTTGGCTTGGGGATCTTCTCCAGTGTCCTCACACATCTCTCTGGGAGTCCTCATCCTCACTGCATATAAGGATACCACTTACATCGAATTGGGGCCATGTTTAACTTAATGAGCTCTGCAAAATATCTGCTTCCAAATGCAGGACATACTGAGCTACCAGGGTCTGTCGGAATCGGAAGATGGACAGGGTGGTATGATGCAGGGCATACAGAGCCTCAGGTCATTTCTCTCCCACACTTGTAGACAATCCTTTCATATCTGTCCTTTAACATCAGTTGAATCAGTTTCAGTCCTATAAAGCCAGTTTAATCAGTACTATGCTGTTGTCTAGTTTCATAAGTACTAATTTTGTAAGGCCAGGTTAATCAGTACTATGCTGTTTAGTCTAGTTGATCAGTATTAATTTTGTAAGGCCAGGTTAATCAGTACCAGTCCTGTGAGGCCAGTTAATCACTCCCAGTCCTGTAAGATGAGTATAATCAGTACCTGGTATAGCTTGTGTCTAGATTCAGGACTGTTTTGGAGGTGGAGGGTAGGGTTCTCTGGAAGTGGACTAAGGGTGCGTGACTATGGATTAGGGGTGTGGTACTCTGATTGGTTCAGCATAGTCCTGGTTACGGACTTTGGAAAGCCCTCCCTGGGTGTGCATGACATCACACAAAGGGCTTGTAGCCTGGATGGGATAAAAGGAAAAGGGACACTTGCTCTTCTACCTTCTGCTTACTGCTTCTTGCCTGCCCTGCTATGGATTATTTCTCTTCTTCCATGCCACCCTGCCCTGGAGCCACCCTGCCCTGTCATGCCACCCTGCTCTGTCATGCCATCCTGCCCTGGAGCCAGCTGAGGATGGACTGAAACCTCTACAAACTGTGAGCAGAAATGAACTTTTCCTCCTTTGACTTGAAGGTGTCAATCTATCTCAGCAACAAGAACAGTACCTATGGCAGTACCAATCCTGTTAGCACAGCTGAATCAAACCTAGCCCTGTAAAGACACTTTAACCACTGCAGTCCTATAAGGACAATTCAGTCAATACTGATCTTCCCTCTGAGTCAGAGGCAGTGTAAGTTTTTTCCTTTGGTGCAAATGAAAGGCAGGAGAGAAATAAAAGAGGCCTTTATTGCTTGGTGCAGGAGGATGGCTTAGGGAGAAGCATGGACACTTGCAGGAGGGAGGTGGAAGCAGGGGATTTTATTGGATTGGATGAGAGGTGGAGTTTAGGCCTCATGTCAGGAGAGGATTGGAGGGTGGATGGCATACTTGTGAAAGACAGAATAAGCATCTATTTTGGGACTAAAAAAAGGACATGGAAGTTGGTCTGGGACTGACAGATTGTTGTTTTGGAACCCAACGCCATGTTGGATCACCTGCCATAGTGACCCTGACAGAGTGCCACACAGGCAGGGTTCCTTCAGTAGGACTTTGACTTTGGAACTTGGCTGGATTGAACTCTTTTGCTTTTAAGACTTCAGGATGACCTTCAAAATATGTGCAATTACTATTTGTCAGGTATAAAATATTTTAAAAAGTGAAACAAATAAAAAAAACTTTAAAACACTAAAGAATAAAAGTTCTCAGGATAGAAATGGAAGTCCCGAACACCAGCAATATCCCGGCCTTGTGGCCATCTGACCAGAGACTAAGGTCTCTTACTGAAAAGACACTATACACGTTTCTGTGACATTCCCTAATAGGAAAATAAACGTCCCCAAGTGTCACCCTCTCGTGTCTTTGCTCATGGCTCTGGAGGGTGGCCATGCTCCACTTCTGCAGGCTGTGCTGTGTCCTTCATCTGCACAGGCAGAGGTGCCTTGCTGCTGATAGCCCTGAAGCCTCATTTCTGCTGCAATGCTGGCACGTCACCACCAAAGGACAACACATAATTGCTGTCACCTGAAACATGAAATAATTCTGTGCCTTTTCCAGCTCTGGAACTGCAATCCAGGGCCTTCACACTAGGGTACACCTGTATTTAATTTTGTTTTTTTCTGACACTGGATCTCTCTAAACTGCACGGCCTGGGCTCAATCTTGCATTCCTCCTACCTTGACCTCCCAGAGTGCTAAGATTACTGGCATATGCCACCAGGCCTTGCTTCATTCTGTGCTTTTTAAAGAGAAAAATGTCTTGCTTTTGTTCAGAAATAAGCAGTGTCAAAACCACACCGCATTCAGCAAGAACAATCCTCAGTTCACACTTGCGGCTTCGCATAATGTTCTCCTGCCTGTCTCTCTCCTCCACAGTGCTCTATGGGGTTCTGTTTGAGAGGAACAAGGAAGCAGCCTTTGCCAACTACCGCCTCTGGGAAGCCCTGGGGTTTGTCATCACCTTTGGGTGCAGCAAGTTTTTATGTGTCAGCACCAAGCTCTATGTTCTGGCAGGAGTCCTGACTCTGGCCGCAGTGGCTTATGGGACTGTGGAGTACATGGAGTCCAGGAACCCCCACCCGCCCCCTGCTGCAGGAGGCAGAGACCAAGCAGATGAAGAGGAAGCTCAAACGCAAATGTGAAGGAGGCAGCAGGGGATGAAGGCCTCAGAAAATATCAGCAAAGATTTTTTATTTGAATATGCCTCGGTATATGTTTGATTCTTCACAGCTACTTCAGCAAGACAGTGTATTTTACTTTTCATTTAATTTTTTTCCACTCTATTAATTTGCAGTTGACTGCTCTTATCAATAGAGATCAAGAGTGTACACAAAAACATAAATTCATTTCACTTCAGATGTGAAAGAAACACATTGAAATTTGCCCGGAAACATGAATATACCTTGTTATTGTTGGCTTTAAGAATGGGAAAGAGCCAAGGAGATGGCTCAGTAGAATAAGCACTTGCCTGGCAAGCGCAAGGTCTTGAGTTCAGTCCCCAGTACCACACACACACACAAAGGAAAGATTGAGAAAAAGAAAAGAATTGGAAAGATTGCATAAAATGATGTAGCCTAAGAGAGTAGTTTTACGAAGGGATAAAGTTTTAAGCTTCTAACACCATAACTTCTACTAACAGATCTAGACAAGTGAAGTTAGCAAAGCCGCAGAGTGACAAGCCCAGAATGGAGGCTCACAGAGGGTATGTTTCAACAGAAATGCAACTGTCTTATGGACTCACTGCCTGGACTAATCCTGTTACCCTAAAGACAGGCCTGGACCACGTAGCACACACACCATTGAGTAGCTGGGCATGGGGATGCTCTTCTATAATTCTATCACCCGGGGAAGCTGAAGAAGGAAGATTGCAATCTCAAGCGCAGCCAGGACCACTCAGTGAATTAGTGACACCTTGTCTCAAAGTAAAAAACAAAAGAGTTAGGAGACATAAATCAGTGAAAAGACCCTGAGCTCAATTAAAAAAATAGCAAATAAGTAACAGCATTTTACAGGCACTCTGAAGTTATTGAAAATGACTTCTTTTCTTTCTTTTTTTTTATTTTAGAGAAGGGTCTACTGGGTGTTTAGGGTCTCATTACTAGATCAGACTCTAGTGATCCACCTGTTTACAGCCTCCCAAGCAAGAGCTGGGATTACAGGTGTGCACCACCACGCCCAATCTCAGTTGCCCTCTCAGCAAGCCCTGGGGGCAGGCCTGGGGATCTAACCTCCGGACCTCTGTGCCTGCCTGTAGGCGCTTTAATCCACTGAGCTATTTGGCCAGCCCTGAGAATGATTTCATGTGTAATACATTCCATATTCTATCATGATGACAAAGCTGGGCACATGTCACATGACACATGCCCATCTACAATCCCTGACAGGGTCGTTGTCATCCCAAACAGTCCCTTTGCATCCTTCGTCTTCCTTCATGGCTCCTGTCTGTGGTGCTGTTGCCCACACCTCTTCCTCCCTCCTGTCTTCTTCTGTCCTGGGACTCTGCTCTCTGGGCCCTGGTGCCTCTGGCCAGTCCCTGTCTCCAGTGTGCCCTTCCCCCCTTCCTCTCAGTTAGGGAATCTTCTTCCTGTCTGTGAGGGAATCCTTATTATGATGACCCTTTGGGGAGCATCCAGCTCAGCTGGATCCTGAGCTTTCTATGTCCAACATGGCATCTTGGCAACTGCCAGTGTTCACTGAGAGAAGAGAAGGTATTGGTAGTTCAAGGTGTAATTAGCCCTCTCCCACCTCTCCAGGGGGTCCCAGCCCAGCTCCCCTCTGTTCAGACACACATTCACTCACTGCTTCTCTACGGTGGATGCAGGCTGCTGTCTGAAGACTCAGTGGTGAGCAAACTCAGGCACGGCTTTCTTCACCCGGATCAGCCAAGATAGGGCACGGGCAGGGATAATAAAAACATAACATTGCAGTTGCCACAAGGTAAGGTCTTGAAGCCACTTAAGTCACTTGTCCCAAGTGAGCTTGGCATGTCCCTTGCTTACAGAGTTCTCCAGTGGCTGTTGATGTCTGTGACGCCAGCGTCCCTCCTCACGTCACTGAAGCTCACCCATGCTTTCATTCCCCACTTACCTTCATCCTAGAAATGCATCCTAGGGGTCTTGTTCCCATTCTCTGCCTGTGAGGCTCTGCTCACTCTGCCACCTTTTCTAACCAGAGACTGCTCCTCTGCCCCCTGACTTACTTAGCAAGAGAATCTTGCTAATGCTAAGAACAGACCACCTTATTCTTGCAGCTCAAGCCCTTAGAGTGGCCCCTGCCTAAAGAGTACACCATGGACTCCTGACCATGGTGTTCCAGGTCCCCCAGGATTCAGCCCCGCTGTCTCCTTATGCCTAGCCTTACCATCCAACATTTCTCTTAGACTACTATTTATATATGAGCTGGGGAGATGGCTAAAGAGGTATGTTCAGTGCAAGGTGGGGTCCCCAGCTTCAGAGCCCAGAGAAAGGGCTCAACTAGCCCTGATTTTTATTTCACTTTATTTTTTGAGGGAGGCTTGGCAGAGCCTAAATTACAGTAACATTGCTGGATGCTCTGGATGGCTTGTGCTGAGACACCTGAGTGAGCCAAAGGGGTGAAATGACTTGGCCCAGAGGTGAGGGTGAGGGCGGTCAGCTCTGTTGCTGAACATACTTCACCCCTCATGAGGCAGACAGACGTGGAAGAACTCTAGCCCATGGCCTACCATGTGTGCGGCCCTGCCCTCACTCCTCATTACCACAAAAATGGGAGATTAATTTCCAGGTTCCAAAATGTAAACCACTTTTCATGTGGTTCCCTAACCTAGGCCCATGAACCAAACACAGTGGGCACTGTCTTTGATGGGTGTCTGTGTGCATTTTTTTGACCGTTGAATAACCAACCATGGATTCCAGCTCACCACTGGACCACAATTCTGGGGTCACGCTCAGACAGGCGGATTGCGGGAGGGCAGCTCCTATGTATGCCGGGTGGGCCCCTTTCTACTATATCCTCTAAAAGGCTAAGATCTCTTACTCCACAGGCTGGGCCAGTGGCCTTCCGAGAGATAGCCCAACCTGCATTTATTTGTATGCTGAGGTGAAATGTTCAAGCTATTTAACTATCCTGGAGATGTCAACAAAATATGTAATATAAAATGAGTTTCAGAGGACTGCATTCATCATGTTTCCATTGCTGGACAGAGAACGTGATGCACAATGTAAAGGAGAAAGGTTTATTTTGATTTATAGTTTCAAAGATTTCAGTTCACGGTGGGCTGGCTCCATCGCACACATATCCTGGTGTGAGGGTGTAGCTCAACCCAAGGCAGCCAAGCAGCGGAGAGGGCAAGAGAGGAGCAGGAGATGAAGGGGCCCAGACAGGACACACCCTGCCTACCACATCCCAGTGACCCAGCCCCTCCAGGGACCATCCTCCTGACAGTTCATTCAGCTAGGACCTCATCAATGAATTAATCCCCTGGTTAAGGCCCCCATGATTCAAGCACCTTCTAGAAGCCCCATCTCTGATCACCCAAGACTTTGGGGGGACACCATAGAGCTGAACTGTAACAAGGACTTAGGTCTTTGAGATTTCCTAGTGGCGTGACCAAACTAAAAACAGATTACCTTTTCTTTTGAATATTACATCAATGGCCAAGTCTAAACTGCTTCCTTTTTTTCTTGCTAGGCCCTAACATCCCTCCTTCCAGAATGTTCTAAGTTTCCTGCCCACCTTCTCCCAAGCTCTAGGGGGCAGATCACACAGTTGGAAGAGAAGCTGAGTCTAGAGTTGAAAGAAATTTTGCTCTTCCTTTCCCTTCTCTCTCACCTCCCACTAGAAATATCACCTTAGAAGGGTCAGAAAATCCGGAAAGAGCCATATTTGCTGTGGTATGTGAGCCTGAGAAGGTGGTTCTCCAGGGGCTGACTATAAACCTATGTCCCTGAGGTAAAAAAAAAAAAAAAAAAAAAAAAAAAAAGAAGAAGAAGAAAGCTGGTTCAGGTCTCTTCTGCAGGGCAGGGGTGATCACAAAAGGATCAACCAATGTGTGCTGGAAACATGTCCTGCTGGGAGGACAGAGTCCCATGTTTGTTTCACCTGGTGTTTGGAAAGCAAGCATGGACAATGGGTGTCATCACCATAGAGGTGGCAGGACTGGGACAGAAAGAGACCAGCGCTACAGGATGAGGTGGGAGAAAGTGGAGCTCTCAGGATGGCATCCCTGGATCTCACATACTTGAGGGAGTGCAGGAAAAGACTGAGTGAAAGACAAGGACTTGCAGAGTGCAGCTACTGACCATGCTCTGAGAAGAGCCACTGTGTCTGGCCTGATAAGGGCAGAGGAGAGAGCATCAGCTTGGCGAAGCACACAGACTGGCATTGGTGGGCAGAACAGCTTGATGGAGCTTTGGGGATGAAAACCTGAAGCAGGACTCTCAAAGACACTTTTGTGGATGGTGAGGCTCTCCCACCTTTCCAGGAGGGCTTCTCCAGAAAGGAGAAGAACCGGGTGTGGGGGCAGACATGAGCACACAGTGGCAATACTCAGGGCTCGGAATGGGTGGGCACTGGATTACTGTAGAGCAATTTGCTCAGTAGTATCTGCAAGAAAGACAAGAAGGATCAACATCAATGTCCTGCTGTAGGTCACACAGGCACAACTTCACCTTCCTGGCTTAGGGTGCCCACTACTAAACTGCTTGTTAACAGCAATGAATCCAAGTCTAATCTTCAACTCTGATAGCTGCACTTAGTTTTTTAAATTTTGTATTGAATTGTAACTCACATACCAGAAATATACAGTAACACCCTTGTACAAGTGGGTATGTTTCTGTACGTGGACATGCCTGTGTACTCAACTCAGTCCCAGAACAGAACACACCAGTCTCACCAGAGACACCCAGGTAACCCTTCCCAGCGCCTTCCCAAGGGCACCAATCCACAAAATCATGGATTCATTTTACGCACTTAATTTTTCACTTGACCAACATAGAAATATCCTGTTTATTATAAGGGAGTATTAAAATGATGATAATAGGAAAAGTCCTCTCTGAACAAACACTTTCCCACTGAGCCAGGTACTGTGGTAGCCATGGAGTTTCCAGCAAACATTAGCCAGCAAAGGCTGCAGTTCTGTCACCCAGTCGGGAAGCTCTTTGGAGAGCAGACATGACTTCTGAGTTCCAGAATATTGTACAGTTTTTTGTACCCTCCTTTGGGCTTTGCATACAGTAGATGATTTTTTTTTTCTCAATTAACTGGCTGGGGTGTGAGCCTGTGTCCTTGCTTGGGGATAGGATGGAGGCTCCATAAATAAAGTGGTGACAGTTTGTTTTTTTTTTAATTGACTCAGAGGTTCACTAGACTTCATCCAAATTCCACTTTAATATCATAATGCACTGA